AAAAATATAAAAAAATATTTTCAGTAAAATAAAAATAGCAAAATACCCCTGAAAATTTCAAGGGATACTTTGGTCATTATATTTTATAAAAATAATTTTTTTAATATTTTTTATAGGTGCGTCCCATTGAGAAAATGGCACGTACCAAATTTTATATTGATACAATTTGTATAAAAAACTAAAAATAAAACACTTTAAGACATCAGATCTAAGATCAAACGGTGAGTGGCTCTCTTGATTAAAATTGGACGTTTGGATGATAGGAGGAGGATAGAACTTCTATGCTGCAGGGAAAACATAGAAACCTTTCCCAAAAGTAAAAAACAAAATTCAATTCCGATATAGTTTGGAAATCTTCGTTGGAATCGAAACTATCGATCTTTTTATGTTATTTACCTTTTACTTGTTTTCTTAAGAACTGCTTTAATAAAAAAACAGATTAAGTTTGGCATTTGTAAAACCAAAATTAATTCCAGATATTTTTTAAAAATCTTTGTTTTCAATAAAAGGATATGCATTTTTTTTTAACCTTTTTTCATATTTTTTCTATTGTTTTACCTTTGTTTCCCATTTTTTTATTCTCTTAAATTGTTTAAAAAATTGGACTGATTCTCGCACCAGAAATTGGGTTTGACTAGCCCATGGATCCGTGATCCAAATTAGTCCGGTAACCAATCCAACTGCCCAATGTGATTTTTAAAACACTAGTTATAATAAAGAAACACGTTTATATAAGGTTACAACTTGATAATATAGAAGTAGGGTGATCTTAAAAATTCAATATAAAAGAGTATTTTAATATGGGAAAATCTTCAAATTGATCATCTCGACCTCGAGATCTATGGATGTTAATAAAAAAAAAGAATTTCAAATCCTAGACAATCTATTTTCAAGAAGTTAAGGTGTTTAGAGATTTGCTTGATATGTACCGCTTTTGAAATTATCAATTTCTTAATTAAGATTGGATATGAATTTTCAAGCTATCGTATCAGAAATACATTTTCTGAAAATTTTTAGAGATACGCAAAGTGGGCACCTTATACAATTCACCCTATAATAAAATAGATTTATACTCGTTTAGTTATTTGGATTAAAGAGGTTTTCTTCGTTTCATACCTAAGCATAAAATGATACCTATTGGCCACATTTTGGGTAAAGGGAATTCCATATATTATGATGAAAATAATGGCATGTGCAGGGCATATCACCTCCAAAAAAAAAAAAAAAATAGTTTGATAGGCCTGTAGACTTATCAAAATAAATAAAGCTTCACTTCATAATTCATCCAAAATTACAACTCAAGTATTGGAAAACCTTTACATCGATCATCTCGGCTTGAATATTATGGTTGTGAAAAAAAACTAAGATTTTAAGCTCTAAAAATAGAGCATATTGTAACAAATTATCTAGGCCATCCATTTTTACCCTTAAAATAAATGTTTATAGATCCATAAGATTTTTACGATTTTAGTTTCAATTTTTTTTGTCCATGTTGGGAATTTATTTTAAATTCATCATAGAAATCAACATTTCCATAAATACTTTCGGGACAAAGATTTGAGGTGAGGCTTTGTTTTGTTTTCATAAGACTTGGGCACTATAAAAATTTCATCCAAAAAAAAGGGCAGACCACCCACTCGGCACAGAAATAAAGCAATTTTTTATGAAAAAGTTTATAGGAGGTATCAACGTTATACATTAGAAATGAGAAGCACCTCAAAATTCTATGGTAAAAGGGTTCGACACCAAAAAAACCCTCCAGTTGATCATCTAAACAATATACGAACATGAAAAAATAAAGACCAAGTCTTAAAAATAGTGCACGATATAATACATTATCTAGATTGCCTACCTTCAAGATTTTTAAATGTTTATAGATCTAAACATCAATCTTTTTAAATCTTAAAACTAATGTCTAGGTGTGGAAATAGATTTTCAGATCAAATTTCAAATACAGAATCCTCCAGCATAATTTAAAGGTGTACTTTATTTTGATTGTTTGAGGACGTCGCCTCACCGATTTTTACTGTAGAATTAAAACACTTCCTGCATTTAATGGGCGGCTGGCCTAACCCCAATTAAACAGGAGGTGATGAGAACAAAAAATATATATATATAGAAAGAGAGAGAGAGGCAACTGTCATGGAGTAATGCACCGCAAATTTAGCTGTGATGGAACAAATGATAAGATCGAAAACAGTTTTGGGTCACTAGGTTTAGGTTCAAAAAGTCCCTATAAAGTTAGGTCTAGAAAAGTACGTACTTTTGAGGAAAATTGCCTTTTTGCCGATCTTAAAGCTAGAAAACTCTTTGCAAATGAAAACTATACTGGTTTGATGTAAGGTTTTAAAAAATGGTGATATAGGTTGGAATCGGCCGATCTGGATCCAAAACTGGTCATGCCGTATTTATTGGAAAGAGGCAAGTTCTCTTTATAAGTTGGCCGATTTTAACGGTTCTATATGATAGAATCAGGTTTTTTTCTATGAGTGGGCCAATTCTAACGGTTCTCTGACAGAGCTAGGTTTTCTTTATGAATAGGCCGATTCTAAGGGTTTTTTAACAAAATCATTGGGTCCGTCGGAAAAGCAATCAATATAGGTTTCTTTTTTATTTTTTCAAAACCTTTTCATTTTTTATGGACTGAATCGTCGATCCGAACCTCCTATTCACCAAAATGGACCAGATTTTCTAAAAGGCGATCCGAGTCGCAGATCCACTTTTCTAAACCTTGACTTGAGGGGACTGGTCATTTTGCCATGTCGTTCTTCCTAGCAGTGAATAAAAAATCACTTATTTAGGTTGGACTCACTCCAATAACGTATACTTAGCATTTAGCAAAGTTTCGGGTGACCAAATGATTGACCAAGGCGGGGTATGTTATAAATATGATATCTTGGGTTCCATTTTTATAATAGGTAAAAAATACCTTTTCCAATAAACTACCAAAATTTTTTTTATTAAAATGTTCTCAAAATTCCATATCAAGAAAATCCTTCTGTGCTGATGAGAGCAAATAAACATAGGATACGCGCTCCTATCTTCTAAAAAAAACTTTTATGCTCTTGAGGAAGCATATATTATTTTATATTAAAGACAATGTATATAAAGGGGGGGGGGCAATGAGCCACCGGGCCTGGCCAAGCCAGCCCTGTCAGCCCACGAAATGTGGCCCAAGGGCCGGGCAACTACAGCGCACGGGGCTGCGCTTTAGGGAACGCTGGCCCGGCCCTACCCTCTTTTAATTTATTTTTTTCGTTTGTTTTTCTTTCGATTTTACTTGGCCCTACTCATTCCGGTCCAGCCCTCACAAGGCTAGGGCTGGGCTTGGGCCAAGGCCTATTTAGTGCGGTTAGGGCTGGGCCGGCCCGATTAAATTAAAGCCAAGGGCGGCCGGGCCCATGTCGGGCACGTGGCACACAACACAAATAGTTCCTCACTTCTCCCAAAAATGGAGGAGCCTTAAATACTAAAACCTTGCCTTCTGGCCACAAACTACTACTCCCCCTCTCTCTCGTTGTGGCCACAAACTACACTCTTTCTCACTTATTCGAAAACAAAAAAGGAGGCAGCATAAATCTCCGGAAATCAAACTTAACAACCCATAAAACAACTTCAATCCGCTCCCCTTTATCCACGCACTAACAACAAGAGCATAACCAATGGAAAAAGCAAGAATTTAATGTGATTCCTAAAACTTAAAACTAAGAAATACTAGAAAGAAGTCCAAGCATATCCATAAAATAAAATAAAAAATAAAAATAAAAATTAATTCTTGATTGTCTCGGATGCGATTTGCATCAGAATTAAATTCATATTCCCCTTTATATCCCAAAAATAACGGATACATTAAATAATTAACCAAAACCTCATTATTCACTCACAATATCATCATCAGCATCATCATCATCATTCGAGTATTATCCTAATTAGTCGTTCTCCTCTATCAATAACCATACCTTTAGTCAGACCATAAAATATGGGATTGTATACTACGAGACCATTTATATTTGCTACAAAGAGGTCACAATTACTAGTAGTTATTAGATATAAAATTAGATGGCTTCGAATGTATCATAAAGTTTGAGAATTTTTTTTCCGAAGAGTATACGTACGAACACATGCACAAATATCGGAAAATATGAATGGGGCAATCTTGGGTGAAAATTACACGAAAGATTTGTCAACCCATTTTTTTTTCAAAATTACCTCTCGGTCCAAGGATGGCATCCACATATTGCTTTTTATTTTGTTTTTTTTAGTTTTTTTCATTAATCGGGCAGTGCTCTAGCGTGAGGGGTTGTACCAATCCAAAAGGCAATGCAATCCGAGATTGGCAACCTTGGACCGCCTCTGAATGCTTAACAAAGTTAATCTTTGCCGTCTGAGGATGCTACCCTCAGACCCGCTTTGAAGAGCACCACAGAAGGCAGACAAATGATGCTAACATCGGAACGATCGGGCAACCTCGGACTGCCTCTGAATGCTTAACAAAGTTAATCTTTGCGGTCTGAAGATGCTAACCTTAGACCCGCTTTGAAGAGCATCACAAAAGGCAGACAAATGATGCTAACATCGAAACGATCGGGAACTGCCCCAAACATTAGGGGACAACCCTACAATTGGCAAAACTCAAAATAGAAGTTTAAAATGCAGTTTAAGGATGGTATTTGCGGACCGAGGGATACTTTCGAAAAAAAAAAAGAACTTCAAGTTGACTAACCTTATGCATAATTTTAACCTACAATTGACTCATTTCGTATTTTATTTTATTTTTTGTGTACAGACATAAAACGCTTTTTTTTTAACTTAAGTCTAGTCAATGACACACTCACAACCTTCCAATTTTAAATACGAGAGACACGAGTGATTGAGACTTCCTTGTATTAAAATTAATTTGAGCACATTCTTATTTCTTTACGTACTCGCTCTCTCTCTCTCTCTCTTACTCTCTCCCTTTATAGTTTCCCTCACAAAAATAAATGATCAAACTAAATTCATAATCCCATCAAAATCAGAAAAATAATTGATTGACCTTAATTAAGCATAATCAAAGCACCATAATTCAATAAACTATATCCATAACATAAGCACTACATTTTTCAGTTGCTCTTCCTCACTTCTTCCTTGGCTGAGCTATTGCAAGCAAGGGGGTCTTCATCAGAACGGTGAACTCAAACTTCTCACTCATGTCGACACGTGGCACGGCTGGATTGGGCAACCACTCAAACTGTTGCACCATGGTGGCCACCATCAAGCTAATGTGAAGCATACCCAAACCTAACCCAGGGCAAATCCTCCTCCCCACCCCAAAGGGCATCATCTTCACCCCCTTAACCCCGGTTAAATCCGCGTCATCATCGCCATCCATCTTGTCCACGAACCGCTCAGGCCTAAACCTCTCAGGATCACCCCAAAGCTTGGGGTCATCTGAAATCGACGGCGTATAGAAGTCCACGTTGACCCCCTCCGGTATATCGTAGCCGCCCAATGTGCTCTTTTCGGTGACCGCATGGGTTAATAGGAAATAAGTGGGCGGGTGTTTCCTAAGGGTCTCTTTCACAAAAGCTTGAAGATATTCCATCTTCTCAACATCTTCGTCGTTAACCCGGTGATCCGGTGAGACTCGGTCGATTTCGGCTCGGACCCGAGTCTGAATCTCTGAGTCGGCAACGAGGTGGGCCATGGCCCACTCGACTGCGGTTGCAGTTGTGTCGGTGCCGCCATTTAGGAACTCGGCGCAAAGAGTCACAAGCATGTCCTCTGAGGGTGGACCCTGGCCCATGTCGAGGTCAAAGAGTGAATCGATGTAGGCCGGCTCTGCAGACATGGCGTTCTGAATTGTCTTCTTCCTGGATCGGATCAGTGGTAGCAATGTCTCGAGTTGTTCTTTTCGCACGTGTTTGGCATGCGCCACTTTTTTTACAAAAATTGCTTGTAGAATCGGCAGGAAGTCGTCGATTCTAGGCTCGAGAGTGATCAACACCTTCTTTAGCACCGAGTCAACCTTCTCAATCATGTTCTCATCCATTTCAACACCAAAACACATACACAAGAGAATACGGAACACCGTGAACCGACAATTACTAAGAACACGCACCAAACCGCTTTTCGACTCTGCAGCGAGGCGCTCAACAAGCTTGTCTAGCGCTTTACGACGTATTGGTCTGAATGCCCTGAGCTTAGCGGGGGTTAGCATACCTTGAACCATGTTGCGTCTCAGAGAGCGCCATAGCGGACCGTACTCTGCGGAGTTCACGGTTTTTTTATGGCTACTGAAGATGGCTCGGGTCGGGGTCTCAGCCGGTCTATTGGCGAATGTCTGGCCCTTTTGGATCAGAGCCTCGTGCGCGAGCTCTGCGCTCGAGATCACGATCAAGGTTCGAGCCCCCATTTTTAAGGTGAAAATCGGGCCATATTTTTGGCTTAATTCGTTGACAATGAAGACAAAGGGCTTGCCGGAACGGGCAATTTGGAGGAGGTTTCCGACCAAGGGCCAGCCTTTAGGGCCAGGAGGTAGCTTTAAAGCCTTGGTTTTCCGGCTACTAAGGAAAAGGTAGCAAAACAAGAGCGCTGAGAGGATTGAGAAGAGATAGAGCAATGCCATGTCTATGAAGAAGAGAAGAGAAGAGATGATGAAGATCAAGAGATATTGTCATTAAATAGAACTAAGTGAAAGAGACGATGGATGAAGAGGGGGAGAAGATGGTCGTAAAAAAGAATGCAGAGAGAGAAAAGATTGATGCACATGAAGAGAGTGTGTAAATTTGTTTGTGTAAGGGTAATTAGAGGGGTGAGTATATAAAGTTAGTGTTGGGTGGGGTTTAATGAAGGTGGCGAGAAATATAGGTGGATGTGCATTTAAGGTTCGAACCACCTCAACTTGGTGGTTTGGTTGTGGAGTACGGATATGTGGAGTGCCATGGCGCTTCATTTAGGTTCTATGCGATTTCCATTTATGTGGATAGAATAGTTTCTCCTTTTTTATTTTGTGAAAACATTATTTAAGGAGTCGAAGCCCCTCCAAGCGTCGAAATTTCTATTAATATTATTTTCGTTTTTTTCGTTACACTTATGTGCCTTCTCAAAAAAGGATTGTATAATGAAATTATTTACCTCGATACAAAGAGGTCATAATTTCTTACGACTGTTTAATGTGAAATCTAATAGCTTGGGTGTGCCACAAAGTTCGATAAAATTTCTTTTGAAGTTTGAGCTTGGTCTGTGAAATAAATGCAGCCATCTCATTTCACATCCGATGGTCATCATTAATTGTGACCACCACGTACTAAAGATAAATGGTCTCATTGTATACTTTTCCTTTCATATTAAAAAAATATCGATTAAGGGGTTAAAACACCTTAGAATATTACTAAAAGGGGTTAAATGATCACAATTTAGCGTTTGCTGTCAAATTTGTACTTCAACCAAGTAACTCCTCGAAAAAACTAAGAGGTTCCCAAATTACCCTTGTTGACGGTTGGGAAGCACAAAAAATTAGGGGCATTTTGGTTATTTTACCCCCAAAGATGGCTTAATAGAATGACATAGTCCTTATGTCTAAATTTACCAATATACCCCTATTGTTAGGGCTTCTCAACCCCGAACATGGATAATTTGGAAACTTTTTAAAACATATTTTTATGGGGCACCTGATTAAAATAGAAATTTAAAAACAGCCACTCAATTGTAAATTGTAATCATTTGACCCATTAGTGCCATTGTAAAGGGTTTCGACCCCTTAATGGATATTCTTTAAAATATATTTAGAAATGCTCAAATTTCAGGGTTTAAAATCTTGAACAAATGAAGGTATTTTAGTAATTTGACACACTCTAGACGAGCAAGGATGCTCCTATGATTTGGTTGGGACCACTCAGTTGGTTTAACTCTCCAATGTTAATTGAGATATTTTGACCTATTAATGACTTTGTAATGGGTTATGGCCCTTAAATGGTAGTTTATGTATTAATTTTTTAATAGGGGTGGAAACATGTGGGGTTGGCCTTGGTGTGCATCCAAACTTCAAGGTCTAGGTCAGACCTTGAGTCATTAATATGTATAGATGAGTTCCATTCCAACTACGGGTAAAGGACCCCATCCCCACTGAACTACCGAAAAAATAATAATGTGTATATGTGTATATGTGTGCATAGTAATTTTACTGGCACTCTCAACTATCCTATAAAAGATATTTAAAAACAAAGTAACCAAACTACTCCTATGAGAAAATGAAAAAAAAATATAAAAAGATAATATTTGTATTTGGTACAAGGAAGCTACTAACACTCTTCATCATTAGAACTGAAGTTACAGGACTGAGGTGTGCCACTGATTGCTCAAAATACAAATAAATTTTTCTGGAACCTTGTGACAAACCCCAAACAATCGAAATTATTCACATATGATTATAGGAAATTTTAACCTTCTTGTACCAAAATGGAAATGGTCTTTATAGTGTAGAATCCTCAAATAAATATTGATCAAAACAAAATATGTTTGCATATTAGTGGTAGGATTTTTCTTTTTCTTTTTTTATTGTTCGTCTAGTATTTGTAGTAAAAATAATTATAAAAAAAATACTGCCAACATAAAAAATAAAGGGTAAGTGAACTTGCACACTTAGGCCAACACAATCTCTCTCCCCCTCTTCATCATACACAAACACAAACAAACACACACACACACACACACATACACACACACACACACACACACACACACATATATATATATATATATATAAATACTACAAAACACCTATAGGTAAAGTTTTTCAGTACTTCACCTACGGCTTTATCACCGTTCAAGATTTATCATACGGTCACAGATTTCTGATAGTATTTGAATTTTAATATTTTTTACAAATCATAAAGATCTGAAATTTTGTTGGTGTGTGCGTCTTAGTGAGATGCACATGAATAAAATAAAAAACAAATAATTTGAATAATAAAAATCATACAAAATACCCTTATAAAGTTTCAGGGGTAATTTCATCATTTTATTTTATGATAATTTTTTTTAATATTTTATTTTGGTGCGACTTGGTTATATATACTCACGTTTCAAATTTTAGATAAATCTGATAAGTACAATAATTATAAAAATTTAAATACTACCAGAAAACTGTGATCATGTGATGAACTTTTGACAATGATGAGATGTAAGTGAACTACTATAGAACTTCACCTATAAACACGTGTATATATATATATATATATATATATATATATATATATATA